AGCACTTTGGGAGGCTGAGGCGGGGAGATTGCTTGAGCCCAGGAGTTCAAGACCAGCATCAGTAACATAGTGAGAACCTATCTCTACAAAAACAATTAAAAAAATTACCCAGTCATAGTGTTGTGTGTCTGTAGTCCTAGCTACTTGGGAGTCTGATTTAGGAGAATTGCCTGAGCCCAGGAAGTTGAGGTTGCAGTGAGCCATGATTGTACCACTACATTCTAGCCTGGGTGACAGAGTGAGACCCTGACTAAAAAATAAATAGGATTCAGAGGTTTAGATGTTGGGGTACAGTTCATTTCAGAGATATGTTAGTTTTCTGTGTATGTTAGTTTTGCTGTGGAAAACCAAATACCCCAAAACCTAGTGGCTTAAAACAATGATTAACGTTTATTGCCAGGCATGGTGGCTCATGCCTGTAATCTCAGCACTTTGGGAGGCCAAGGAGAGAGGGTTGCCTGAGCCCACGTGTTTAAGACCAGCCTGGGCAACATGGCGAGACCTTGTCTCTACAATAAATAAAAAGGCTAGCTGGGCATGGTGGTGCATGCCTGTAGTTCCAGCTACTTGGAAGGCAGAAGGATCACCTGAGCCCAGCGGCTCTAGAGGCTGTGGTGGCTGTGAGTGTGCCACTGCACTCCAGCCTGGGTGACAGAGTGAGACTCAAAAAAAAAATTATCTTACATAATTTCTGAGGGTCAGGACTTGGAGAGCAGCTTAGTTGGGTGATTCTGACTTAGGGTTTCTCTTGGGGTTGTAGCCAAGCTGTTAGTTAGGGCTGCAGTCATCCAAAGGCTCGGCTGGGGCTGGTAGATCCATTTCCAAAGTGGCTCTCTCTCGTGGCAAGCAAGGTCCATGTAGACCTCTGTATAGGGCTGCTGGCTTCTCTCAGAGGAAATGATCAGAGAGGGAGACTATCTGACAGACACACAGAAACCCTAATGTTTTTATGACCTTGACTCAGAAGTTACACTGTGTCTTTCCTATAATATCCTCTTTATTAGATGCAAGTCACTAAGTCCAGACCACTAAGTCAAGATGAGGGCAATTCAGTGTCATAGTTTGGGCCAAGGTGGCTCATGCCTGTAATCTCAGCACTCTGGGAGGCCAAGGCAAGAAGTTTGCTTGAGCCCAGGAATTCGAGACCAGTCTGGGCAACATAGTAAGACCTCGTGTCTACAAAAAATTAGCTGGGTATGGTGCCATGCACCTGTAATTCCAGCTACCAGGGTGGCTGAGGCAGAAGGATCCCCTGAGTCCAGCAGGTTGAGACTGCAGTGAGCCATGAGCATGTCATTGCACTCCAGCCTGGGCAACAGAGTGAAACCCCAACTCAAAAAAAAAAAAAAAGTCAGTTTGAAGAGAAGCATATCAAATAATTTGTGGACTTTTTTTTTTCTTTAAGCATCAGGATCTGGGCTGGGCTTGGTGGCTCATCTTGTAATCCCAGCACTTTGGGAGGTTGAGGTGAGTGGGTTGCCTGAGCCCGTGAGTTTGAGACCAGCCCAGGCAACTTGGCGAGAACTTGTCACTACAATAAATCAAAAATTAGCCGGGTATGGTAGTGTGTGCCTGTAATTCCATCTACTTGGAAGGTTGAGGCAGAAGGATTGCTGGAGTCCAACCTTCTTCCAAGTAGGTCGATGCTGGGGTGGCTATGAGCGTGTCACTGCACTCCAGCCTGGGCTACAGAGTGAGACTCCAACTCAAAAAAAAAAAAAAAAGAGTCAGGATCTGTTACCCAGGCTAGGCTAGAGTATAGTGGTGCAATCATAGCTCTGTATAACCTTGAACTACTACTGGGCTCAAGCGATCCTCCTGCCTTAGCTTCTGGAGTAGCTGAGACTACATGTGTGCACCACCACTCCTGACTCATTTAAAAAAAATTTTTAGAGTCAGAGTCTTGCTCTGTTGCCCAGGCTGAGCTCTTGGACTTGAGTTATTGGCCTTGAACAATTCTCCCACCTTGGCCTTTCAAAGTATTGGGATTACAGGTGTGAGCCACTGCACGTGGCCCTCTGGATATAGTTTGAAATATGTGTGTGGTAGAGGTGGAATTCTGTTCAGGAGTTCACCTGTTCTCAGTTAGATTGACGGATTTAACTGCGAAGAAGTTGTTAGAATCAATGGTTTAGGTACTAGAGGGCAGTGATTCATTTGGGGCTTAGCTGCTGGGAGCAGTTAGGTGTAGGGGTTTCCTTGCGAAAAGGGAGGTCATTTCGGCATCTCAGGGTTGGACTACCCTTGAGCATGTGTGTGTGAGGGGCTGACACTTGGTCTGCGGGATTCAGCTGCCTTGCCCAAGAGGTGAGGCTGGATGAGAGAGAAGAGACAGCCACGATGCTATGGTGGTTGGAAGCCAGGTCCCAGCCTCTTGGGCCTCTCCCCCCTCTCCTTATCTCTGCATCCCAGTCTGTCTTTCTCTGAGGCTCCCAGTCTCTCATTTATTCAGTCCCAATATAGTCATGAAACTGCAGGATTCAGGCTGAAAGAAAGGGCAGAAGATGGAATGGCCCTGCTTAACGTGGGACTTGGCTTCTTGTGGGTACTATGGCTCCGTCTCCTCCTTGGCCTCCTGGTTTCTTCTAGTCTGCCTTCCTTGTCTGGAATACTTTCTTGGCATCTTCAGGGTGAGGGCACCACTCCTGGGGCTTCAGGGTGTCATACCAACTTTCTTTACATCCATGCTGAATTTTTCACCATTTCTTTTTTTTTTTTTTTTTTTTTGAGTTGAAGTCTCACTCTGTTGCCCAGACTGGAGTGCAGTAGCCGCTTCCTCGACCTGCTGGGCTCCGGCGATCCTTCCGCCTCAGCCTTCCAAGGAGCTGGAACTACAGGCGCGCGCTACCACGCCCAGCTACTTTTTGATTTTATTGTAGAGATGAGGTCTCGCCAAGTTGCCCAGGTGGGTCTCGAACCCGCGGGCTCAGGCAATCCACTCACCTCAGCCTCCCAAAGGCACGGGATTACAGGCTGAGCCACCAAGCCCGGCTTCACCATTTCTTAATTCCGTTTATGTACTGTTCCACCTGTGTAGAATGTCTTTTCACTTTCCTCTACCTTGATGAAGATAAGGGACCTGAGGGAGAGTCGCTATGGCAACTTGATCCTCCCACCCTTTACTTTTCTTTTTCTTTTCTTTCTTTTCTTTTCTTTTTTTTTTTTTAAAGTTGGAGTCTCACTCTGTCGCCCAGACTGGAGTGCAGTGGCTGCTTCCGGCCACCGCAGCCTCGCCTGCTGGGCTCCTGCGATCCTTCCACCTCAGCCTTCCGAGTAGCCT